CTGTATGATTTAATAAATGTTACTATAAAAAATGTAGTTCATAACTTTTCATCACCTTTATCTGGGGAAACCTTCTGAAGAAACAGAGCTGTATGTCCAGCCACATATGTTATAATCTTGATACTACATAGACTTTGACTGGACATTTTAACAGGGGGAATATATTTTATGAAACAAGATAGGTGCACTTATGCTGATACCCCAGATTATTTACCTGATAATTTTAAATTGTGCTGAAAATAAGGCATCCTTTCCCATGTTTAAAAATCAAAAGGAGCTAAAAAAAGCAGCTCTACCCTACAGTCATTCCCACTACACTAGTAAGCTTTATTATGCTTCATCATTTACATACACAAGAATGTAACAGAGAATATAATTCCAGTCCTTGAAAATGAGAAATGAGACCCTGCAATGAACTATAGGCTCAATGTCAATCCCCTGCAAAATAATGGCACACGTAATTTTGGACTCCAGGAAGAAGTAGGAGCTAAAATATGTTGTCAGCCAGAGGCTCGATTCTTATTAGCATCAATCAGTCAGGTTTCAGGGATAGCAGATCTGGTCAGACAAAGCAGCTCTTCCAAACAGCCAGGTGAAAAAACAGGTCTTTGTCAGCCACTGGTGGGGAAGTTTGATTTGGGAAAGTCTTAACAGAGCTGCCATAACATAAACATTAGATGGAGCAGGCAGGTCCCTTCTGCAGCAAAGCCCCAGAGATCCTTCTGCTCTCCCTCCTCCTGCTGCGGACACCAGTTTTTACCTACAAGATATGCAATTTTAAAGAGGAAATTAAGAAGAGGTTTCCATAGTGCTGCTCAGAAGGGAATCACAGGTGGACATGCAAAGGGACCAACAGGAGCCTCCAGGTACTTATGTTATTCTGGTAGCATATGTAACTGGTATTTTTAACCACACAGGAGATCCATTTCTTCAGTGCCTCCTGCCCCGCCTCTCCTTCCACAGCTGGCCACGGCAGGAGCTGAAGGGATAATAGGAAGAATAGTCCGGGTGATAATAACTGCACAGGGAAAGAGGAAATAAAGCTGAGATAAAGTAGGGGGTTTACCTCTGTATATAGTGTTGGTAAGACTCACTAGGCTATTATGCCTTGTTCCACTGTTCACATTTCAGGATGATTCAGATATTCCTCAAAAGAGAGAAACTAGTATTATCTAGAAAGCCTTACAAAAATTAAGCTTGTGGTGCTCAAATCATCTGCAGAGAAAGATGAAGAGGTGATTTATCACGTTGTATGAGTCCTTAGTCATAGGAAAGATACTTGATAGTAAGGGGGATGTTCAGTCTTGCACACAAAAACATAATAAGACCTGATTTCTGAAAGCTGAATTTAGTGGGATGCAATTTTGAACTAAGATGCTATTTTCTGGCAGCAAGGGGGTATTTCATCGCTGAAAGTGCTTACCAGATGTGGCAGTGTGAGCATCATCTGGAATTGCCCGGATAAGACTACACAGCTTTCTAAAACATAGACTTTAGTCAGGCTTCTTGGAAAATCTGTAGATCCTGTGAGTTCAGACTAAATTATCCTATGGCCCCTTTGGCCATATATATTCCACAAATCTGTTAATATGGTTGAATTTCATTCATATCAAATTCTGTGCTCCATAACCACAGCTTACATGTAGAATCACTGAGGAAAGAGTTTCAAATTGTGTGCCACGAGAACATATGGCTTTGTCAAAATTAAAATATTTGACAAAATACTATAGGTTCGGGTTTTGAACACGGAGGCAAGACTGACAGCCAAAGTTAATGGCTATCCTAAACAAGGAAGAGAGGGAAACAGCTGGAGCTGCAGGAGGAAATCCAGGGCTGGGAGCTTGAGCATTAGGGAAAATATTCTGCTTTTTGTGAGAAGAGGACACTTGAAAAGGACGTGAGTGATAAAGAGCAAATAAAACCTTATGAGGAAAGGGAGAGGAGGACAAAGACAATGCTTACATTAAGTAGCAGAGAAGAGAGTAGACCGTGTTAATCTTTGTCTTGGAAAAGAAATTTTTTTCGTCTATGTGAACTGAATGAAATTCTATTACTTCAATTCTAGATTCCTGCTTATGGCAGGACCGTCAGTGTATTTTCTTTGGAAATTTGTATTTTGGGAGATTTGATTACAATTGCTTATATGATCCAGCTTTTCTGCTGGTATTCATTCCTTATGCCACTCTGCTCACAGGACCTACAGTAGTTGTGCTGAAGGTCCAGCAGTAGAGCATGCCAAGAGCTCCTCATTCCCACTGAAATTAATGTTATTATATTTCTAATCTGTTTGTATCAGTCACGCTAAATCAGCGTACTGAACAATGAGTGGGTATTTCATCCACCCATTTTGTGGTGATGGATGCAGGAACGAGACTGGACTAAACCTAATCCTGACCCTGGCACAGCCTGACCACCGGGAGACCTCCTTTAACTTGCTTTAGTCTGTACTGGCCACCCAGGTGCTGTTGTGGCAGCACAGCATGCTCCAGCCATGTCCCCTATGTTTAGTGACAAGTTTAAGGCAAATAAAAATCACCTGGATAAATAACATTAGGTGTCAGGTGTGAAAAATCCCTCTGTGGTACTGCTTCAATAATGCCAGAACATGAGCAAATCTCTCTCTTTTTCTACCTTCAAAGGTGCAGAACCTCAAATAAGAAGTTTAATGCTGTTGGAAATCTTACACCGTAACATTTACTTAATCTGGAAGATATTTCCACAGTTCCAAATATCTATTGTGTCAGTCACTTGTATATATTTACTTGTGAGAAGAACTGTTTTGAGTTATTTGATTCCTTTACTTGACTTTCTGGAACGTTCTTTCTTGAAGGATAAAGAAATAAGTAGCTCAGATTTAGGAAGATATTTTTTAAATCTTTAAAATAATTTTATAATTTTGTAGACTAACTAAAGCCACCGCGTTTGCGCCATTACTCATGAGATCCTGCTCTCAGATGGATTTCTACATTTGGGATAGGATGATCCCTCACCAGCTGTCTTTAGGAAGTAGATTTGTTTTTCATATGCTGTACACAGAAATAAGAATTCCTTTCAATGTTTTGTCTGTTGCCAAGCTGAAACGTTAATGATATTTAACTTGGGCTGGGATGGGGGAGTGGGGGGGACCTGTATTAACACCACCACATTTCAGGGTAGAGGGGACACCGAGCAAGGGTCATGTCATGGCATAGTTGACGTGGGGTAGGCATGTAGGTGGCAGCTGTTCCTGTTCTCCTTTAGGACAGGAGAGACTTCTGCAGAAGGAATTTGAGTAACGGGTTCATTGCAGGATCTGAAAAGAAATCTGATTAATAAATTATCCCTTTACGTGGAAATAACTCTTCTGTATGTTTCAGCTCCTAAAAATGGTCTGTAATGACTGCATGCTTTTTCAGGTCATCAAGTGTAGTAGGGAAGAGTGGATTATCACCTTTGCGAGTTAGACTATGGCAAATTCAAAAGTATATCTCTGTTCAAGTGATTGTGTAAACCTGCTTGAACTTCCAGGTCAGATAATACTGAACTTCACTGCTTTAGGAATTAGGGAAGGTTCAGCTTTCCCCAGACCTTCACTTTCCCTAAAGACAATGTTTCTCTGCTAATTAAAAATACTCTACATAGCCTTTTAATTTTCTTTGCTCACAAATGCATAGCCACAAGCAAGCACTGAGAATTTCCAGCTTTTTGAAGTCTGTCTGACCCCAACTTATTTCTATGGCTGAAATACTTCCAGTCACCGGACCAGGGAAAGGGCCGGGGAACATCTGCAGGTGGAGAACCCAAAGCACACAGAACCAGTCTGTGCATATGAAAAGGTTCCGTACTTTTTAAAGTACATTGAAGAGATATTAACAATATATTCAGGGTTGCTGAAATGGTTGCAAAGGTGTATGAACGGGTTCAGAAGGTGGGATTTTGGCTGTGACAAATTGGAACAAACCAGTGAGACAAGACTGTGGCATTCAGGAGAGTAAAGCTCCAGTTAGACAGAGACTCTGGTTAGGAAAATGGAAGATCATAATTTTTTTTTTTCTCATTTTATTGGTACCCACTTACCTTGCAGAGCACTTGGAATTTAAAACAGTCATTACAGAAGGCTCTGAAACACCCACATGTAAGATCTGTATCTTTTACAGATATTTGTACAAAATTTGTTATTTATCATATAGAGAAAAATGCTTTTCAGAAACATCAATAGGGTATGCCTTGTTACTGCATTGATTTGATTTCTATATAAAACATAATAATAAGACATGTAAAGAAATACATACTTCTTTAGAAAGAAAGATTCATTCTGAAATCCAGAATTCCTGCCTTCATTGCTGGGACCCTGAGTTCCTTTCCTCCCTGTGTAACATTACAAGAAGTAAAGCATTCCCTTAAGGATAGGCCATTTAATGCTTTCCATCATTTTCCATCCATGTGGAACTCTGTTCTCTTATGCCCAGATGTATAAATAGTACAGAAAATGGAGTTTAGTGAAGAATTCTGCTGATGAAATGAAAGAAAAAATCTAGCTTATTTTTTTCTTAGCCATGTTGCTACTGCAAGCCTAAAAGCAATACAAAGCAACAGAAATAAATGTATTTTAGTCTTCTCCATGAACAGATATGACTTTCCAAGTTCACACGGAGTAGATGTAATAGGCATAATTGTTTTTAAAAGTACAAGAAAAATTTAATTTCATCTTCTTTTCAAACTGCCATGAGCAAGCTCAACCTTCTCTTAAACAAGAGCATCCATCAGTAGCAGTTTACTGCGAACTCGATAACAATACCTGCTTTGCACAAAATAGAGGAAATTGTTGCTTTCTTATTTGTAGCATTTTGAATCCATGGCTGAGCTTCTGCAAATGTGATGGAAATAGCTGTGGTCACGCCTAAACAAGGTTTTTGCATAGTTATATTTCAACAACTGCGTGTATTTTTATCAATAATGGCAATATGGGCATCCCAGCTCTCCTCAGCTATCTGTACTCTGGTGGAATTGCACTGATTCAGCAGCTCTCCATTACAACTTTCTCCTTGTTTCATTCCAGTTTCTCCGAAGATATTTCGTATTTCGAGTGACATCGTTGTGAACGAAGGAAGCAATGTTACTCTGGTGTGCCTGGCCACAGGGAAGCCAGAGCCTTCCATTTCTTGGAGACACATCTCTCCATCTGGTAAGCACAAATATCTGTCACCTGGAGCTTTCTGCAACGTTTCACCAGTAGCAGGCTTTGCATTTTCAGTTTTCAGAAGTGTGACAGCATCACTTTTGTATGCCTTAAAAAGTGTGTGCCTAACTAGACCTTTAGAAAATAAAAGCTTCTTCAGATTTCAGCTGAGATCAGTGAAAACTATACTACTGTAACATAGGAATGTAGAAATAAAGGCACCCTAAATATGCGTATATTTTTAAGCTCGTTTTAACAGGCTGCAGACATTTATCAAACAATTCCAATTAAAAGCAAAACAAGGAAATAATCAAGAATACACAGGGCTCTCTAGAAGCAGGAGTGAAAGTTAAAAACATTAACACATCATGCAATAGATTTTTTAATGTAAACACATCATGCAATAGATTTAATTTAATGTAACTACCATTGAACCATTATTCCATGATACAGCATAGTTTATTAGAATAGTTTTATTGAACAAACTAAATTATATTTATGAAAAATTGCAAACAAAATGGCATCTAATTGCATAGTTTCTATTTAATATTTCCATTTATACTTTTAATTCCTTATAACATATTTAAAGGAAAACATTTAGCTTACAGGCATCTCTACACTGTTTGACTTGGTGCAGTCTTGACTGGTCTTGCACTGGTTCTTTTATAGGGACTCTACAATGGTAATTGATTTTGCAGTGAAGGTCTTTCTGTTTGCTCACACAACTTTTATGAAATCCGTGTAATTGCAGGGAAGAATGGTTTCATGGGCTGTCACAGCTTACCGCAGTGTCTCATAATCCTGAGTAACAGTTTGCTTTACAAAGCAAGATCTGAAAAAAACCAAACTTTTGACCTTTAAGACAATGACAATGAATTCTGCTCAAAGTGTCCATCAAGGGACTAGGGAAAAAAATCAGTTGTAGCAAAAAATGGATTTTAACTAAATGTCAAATAAAATTTTATTGGAAACCATGGTGATATTTTACAGTAATAGCTTAAAGCATTAGGTTGTCTACAGAAAGGAGCTGTTATAATTTTCCTGGAGAGGAAAAAAGCAGAAAAGGAGAATTAGTGCACTCAGGTTGAAGAAGGGGTCTGAGGAGGAATTAGATCCTCCTCATCTTGAATTCAGACAAAATTAGTACACATAATCACAAGGGCTTTCAGTGAACCCACTGATTTTGTATCTTGACCAAAGGACTGAGAATGAGGACTGAGAGGAAAAATATGATCATTCAACTACAGACCTATTATACTTACCACAATGAGAACTGAAAATGAAATTTGAGGAAAAGACTAATCAAAGATATCGTGGTACAGGGAGAGTAAATCAAAGTGCTCACGGTGCAGTGATAATGTGCTCTTGTCAAGTGTCTAGCACAGCAAACTGTGGGCAGACAGGTATGTTTTCTCACTGCTGAAGGAAGACTTAAGGGCAGGCATTTACAGCCTGTGCTTTGTTTCCCTTCCCTTGCCCAATACCTGCTTTGTTCTGCCTTCTCAGCCCTTCTTGGAAGCATATATGAATAGCGCCCATAGGAGACAGCAACACACATTTACCATATGCTCACTGTTTCATCCTCTCTGCTGGAGCATCTTGACCAAGTAGTTGGCAGGTAATCCTGCAAATCGTATACAACTTCTCCTTTTAGGATTTTCTTTGGGGAAGGGTGGCGTGTTGGATTGGTTTTGCCACATCCCTTACTCTCTCACCAGGAAGTGATAGGTCAGAAGAAACACAAACGTGCTTAACAAATTGGGTACTTAAAAGAAAAAGGAAAATCACAGAATTGAACCACAAACTGGCTGAGGTGGGCAGGGACCTCTGGAGATCAGCTGGTCCAGACTCTGCTCAAGCAGGGGCGGCCAGAGCAGGTTGCTCAGGATGTGTCCAGTTGGGTTTGAATATCTCCAAGGATGGAGATGCCACAGCACCTCTGGGCAACCTGTGCCAGTGTTTGATCACCCTTACTTTAAAAAAGCTTTTTTCACCTTTAAATGGAATTTCCTCTGTTTCAATGCGAGCCCATTGCCTCTTGTCCTGTCACCAGCACCTCTGAGGAGAGTCTGGATCCATCTCCTTTACATGCCCATCAGGTATAGGACCCCCAGAGCCCTCTTCTCCCCAGGCTGAGACCCCACCAACTCAGCTGCTCCCCAGTTCAGCTGCTCCAGCCCCTTTGTCACCCTCATGGCCCGCCGCTGGACTTGTTCCAGGATGTCCATGTCTCTCTTGTCCGGGGGGGGGGGCGGGGCGGCCCTCAGGACATGCATGTATAATTCTTCATAAAAACAGTGGGATATGCACCTACTGCAGGCTTGCTGCCTGGGGTGGCACTGGAAGCATCTCCTCACAGCATGACTGGTTTACTTCATCTGCAGATGCATTTAAACTGGCACTCATGAACTGCTCAGTCTTGTTTAGGGGCAAAGAGGAGGTACACCTGATACAATAACAATAAATGCTTGGTTTATATATATAATTGAAGTCTTAACAGTCTAACTCAAGAATCGTTATTAACCTAGACCTAATATTCCCTGCTCGTGGCAGGGGGCTTGGACTAGATGATCTTTCCAACCCAAACCATTCTATGATTCTATGACTTACCGAAAAAGAAAGAATAATAATGCAGTTAAAGTTGTTATAGACTCACTTAGTTTCTACCCCTTTTCCTGGTGATTTGCACACCCTCCCCTGCCCCGTGGGGGCTGAAGATCGGTGGCTTCATTCTGGTGGGCGGCTGTTATGATGAGTTGTAAGCATCCAGGAACTCTCGGGGGGAGGAATATGATGTTCATATTAGTGGTTTCTTCTTCCTCCCTTTAAGATCCATTTGGGGTCATTTTTAAATGTTTGCTGTCACGCCTTTACACCTTTGCTCTTTCTTCATTGCTTTGCAGCTCCACATTACATCCTAATGTACTGTTTGCGTATACATATCTATGTACGTCCGATATCATTCCTTTGTTCTCCGATACCCCTAAACCCCACTTTGTCCAGCTCCAAATCTGCATTTCTTTAACTGACCATGGGTGAGCTGTTCACAGCTGTGGGGTCTACTGTGGCACCCCCTGCCTGTCTCTACCCATCCCGTGCCTGCCTGCCTCTGCACCCTGTCCCATGTCCCTGCTTCTCAAGCCCCTGCTCCCACACCAGCCTGTGTTTCTCTGCATTGCATCATCATGTAACAGTCATAAAAACCTCATTACACACAGAATAACTGCTTGCTACTTCTGGCTGTATAAAACTATGGTCATACCATGGAAATGCAAAGCTAAAACAGATTAGGCAGGGACGTCTGCTCAGTTGGAGGAAATGCTGCCCCAGCTGAACCAGGCATGACAAAGCTGTAGGCAGGGCAGGACAAGTCCAGGCAGAGATGCTCTGACAAGCCTCAGTGCTGAGGCCTTGCAAACTCATTGCAAATGCTGCATTACAGGGCTGCATCATTACAAAACCCGTTACATCTGAGAGGTAAGCACCGATGCGGCCACTGCAGAGCACTAGGACATGCCTTGGTGTCCCCTGGTTGATTAATGGACAGAACTCTGTCCGGAGTGGAAGAACACAGGATCCAAATAACTTTTTGCTCAAAAAATCTTGTAAAATGTGATGGAAACAGACATATAATTTACAGAATACGTTCTGTCCACTAGTCTACCAAATAAAGAAGAATATTTCCATTTCAGTAACACCATACCACTTTTGTGGTCAGGTGTATGTTCTGGTGTACAGACAGTTATAAATGGCACTCAGATCCAATTAAGTATCAGTCTGGCAAACAAGAAGCCTGGATTTATTAGAAAATAAAATGCAGGAGAGTTGAAAACACCAAATTTCTGTAAGGGTTTATATTCTGTCTGCAGCAAATTACCTTTATCTAAACATAAGCTTCATCTTCACTTTATAATTTCTACCAGTTTTCTCCTGTAATTCCCAGCGGCACTGATGAGGCATACATGCAAGCATCACATCTAGAATACGACACTAAATTATATTAACAAATCATATTTAGAATATTCTGAAATTGTTTGTCAAAGCTGCTACTAAAAGATAAGAAATTGAAATCACTGAATACAAATGATTCGATGTAGACTAATTCCAAAATATTATCATGATTTGCATCAATGCAGCCTTTACTTGGATAAGGTCGGATACAATTTTTTTGAACAAGAGATAAAATGAACCTTTTGTAGGAATAAAAAAATGTATTTAGAGGTGATTTTTAACTTAGTACATGAATTATTGGCCTGGAATCTTTATTATGCATGTTTATTTGCAGTCATTATGCAAATGTGTTCATTATATAAATATTCATTATACAAACCCATTATGTAAATCCCCAAAATCTACACATTCAGCGTAACACGATAAGGAACATGGGGCTGTAGTTTGTAATCTGAAAATCTTGTATTGTTGAAATGTCATCTGAATAAATTGCAGGTATCACTTATTTTGTTCTGACATTTAAGAGCAAAGTGCAGCATCAATAGTTTAAGAATGAAACCAGAATTTTAAAGAATTAAGGTCCATCTGAAACATAACTCCAGCTTTTAACACTTGTATGCACAGTGTGTGTGTGTTACATCATTGCCATTTTTGAAAAGCAAGCTCTGCCAGTGTTGCCATGAGCAGTAACAACAAAAGCCATTCAGAAATCTTTTCATAAAATGTTACTGCTTTGCAAAATTTGGGTGCTGTATGTCGAAACTCTTTTCCGCTTTGGTTTTGACAAACTTTCCAAAGGAGATTTTTCCCAGCTGCAGAGGGACCGATGGCTTGGGATGCTCGGGTGATGTCCAGCAGAGCGGCCAGTCAGACTGCTGAGCCGAGTGGGGCCCAGCAGCAGAAGCACGCACCGCTTGAGCCCTTTGCTGCTTAGGACAGCCTTGCTAGGAAAGCCTGATATTTCCTGGGTTTATCTAAATAAAAAATAGGTTAAATTCCATAGTTTCAAAAAGTCTTATGGAAAAAGCAAAACTTTTTCTACCTAACTCCCTTAA